AGTACGCCACTGATCGACTAGGAACTTTAGGCTTATCTGGTTGCCCAATTTAATTTATTATGTTATGGTTGGTAACAACCAGCGTTTCCAGATTCTGTCAAAAAAGTTGCCAGGTTTTGTTTAAATTTATCTTAATTACAAGAATGACAAAATCAACAATGCAAATGGTAAATTTGGCGTTTTTATTAATTGTTGATTATGTCATTTTTGTAATGAAGGTAAATTCAAATTTTAGGTTATGTGCTTAAATTGTAAATATTTAACTAAGGGAAGTGCTTTTGGATTTATTTACATAAATTGAATGTTTAAAGTTTAACCTGTGAACTTGTCGTAATTTCATCTGAATAAATACAAAGGGAAAAAATAATTTTGTGGTTATGGAGTTTTTAAAATAGGTACTAAATTTTCTAATCATTGCTTAAGCTAATAGCTGGATGAGTAAATAAATACAGAAGGGTAAGAGCTTTAAGGGCATAAAACTTTTGTATTTATTAAGTTTTTATTTATTTTTTGCAAGAAAAAAATTAGTAACAATTTTTTACAACTGTCAACTCGTAGCTACTTTGTTGGTTGGTATCTAGGTACTCACAGAACACAAGTGTGTAACCAGTGGCATATCACAAAAAATATAAAAATCTTCTAATGCATATTTTGTCTTTATCTTTGGGAAAATATTTTTTTAATTATTATTTGTTACACCTTATGTCAAAAGGTAATCGGTATTTTAATATATTACATAACACCCTGTATATTGCAATTAAAATTTGGAATCATTTGTACATCATAAAAATCTTATCCCCGTAGACTTATACAAGTTCAACGTAATCCATTTTTAATAATAAGTTGCGAAAATTTTGTTGACATTAAATTTTAAATATAACTTCCCATTACTACCGACAAATAATATGGTATTATTATTCGCAATTACCTTAATTCAGTAGGTATAGCTGAATTTCAAATAATTGTAGTAATAATGGTTTGGAATAATTATTGCTTTGTTTTTTGTTCGAGCGAAAATTCGTAAATAGTTCTTAATTCTAAAAGCTTCTAAATTCTTCATCTACTTAGTATTGTCTAACGCTTCGCTCGTGCAACAAACTTTACACTTGATTCTGCAGTAGACATGTTTAAATGCTAATAACTAAGATAACAATTATTTTATTTCTCTAAATATTTTTGTTGTTAACATTTTTATTCTAGATTGTATTATCTAAAACTGGTATTGCAAAATACATTCTTAGGCATAACATTTGTTTGTTTTTTTTTACATTTTTTTATGTTACATTCCGATAAAATATTTCGTTGGCAAATAAAATAACTGTTCAACTAATGTGATGTGTTCTATTGATCATAGTACAATCGTTTGAATATAAATTCATTAAATTTTGTAATCTTTTTATTCTTGATTGCTTTAACAAGAAGTCCAAAATAATCCCTTATAATTTATAATTAAATTCTCTGTTCATTCATTGTAAAAAAATTGCGCAAAGCTTAATATTTATGTTATTTTTATTTTAAACAAATCCTCTTGAAACTCTTGTTTGAGTAAAAACATGTGACTTTAATCTTAAAATATTTATTGGTGTTAAATCTTATGCGGAGGAATTTTTCTTTGGACAGGCTTAAGTACTCATGTGAAAGAGAAATGTTATTTATTTAAATAAATATTTGTTTAATAAACAAATTAATACTTGTCTGGTTTTATTTACTAAAAAAATATTTGATTTTTTTGAATCACCCTTTATATATATGGTATTACGTAACATTAACGTAATATATTAAAATGGGTAGTTCCATAAAGACTAAAAATAATTTATAATAACCTTTATCATACCAAAAAGTACGCCAATGATCAACTAGGAACTTTAGGCTTATCTGGTTGCCCAATTTAATTTATTATGTTATGGTTGGTAACAACCAGCGTTTTCAGATTCTGTCAAAGAAGTTGCCAATTTAGTGCATTTCTTTCAAATTTTAGGTTATGTGCTCAGATTGTAAATATCTTAACTAAGGGAAGTGCTTTTGGATTTATTTACACAAATTAAATGTTTAAAGTTTAAACTGTGAACTTGTCCTATTTTCATCTGAGTAAACAAAAATAAAAAACCGATGAAAAAATTAATTTTGTGGTTATGGAGTTTTTAAAATAGGTACAAAATTTTCTAATCATTGCTCAAGCTAATAGCTGGATGAGTAAATAAGTACAGAAGGGTATTAGAGCTTTAAGGGCATACAACTTTTGTATTTATTGAGTTTTTATTTATTTTTTGCAAGAAAAATTTTTGTAACAATTTTTTGGTTGGTATCTATTTTTTTATCTATGATCTTTATACTCACAGAACACAAGTGTGTAACCAGTGGCGTATCACAAAAAATATAAAAAATATTTTTTCTTTATCTTTAGGACAATATTTTCTTAAATATTTTTCCGTTACACCTTATGTCAAAAGGTATCCAGTATTTTAATATTAATATTTTAATATACAGTGTGTCCGTAAAGTCCCGGAACATGTGATTATTTTGAAAACGGTATTTTTTAAAAAAAAACGCTGAAACACGTCAACTTTGGAATTTTTCTGGCAATATTTTAGCATATGTAGTTGTTCCAAATTTTGCCGCGTGGCGGCGCCCCAATCGAAGTAAGGTTTTTTTAAATTACAACCCTTAATTTTTGTTGCATTTTTGGATAGCTACCGTCGTACTGAGTACATTGATATGCTACATGTGGAGGGTTACATAAGAAAATTTTTGAGAAAAGTAGGTTTTTGCCGCTGATTAAGATTTTGGTATTGACGAACTTATTCGCTGTTACGGGGCACTATGCATTGCTAGTAAGGGATTATTTAAATCAGGTCTTTCCCAATCGCTGGATAGGTCAAAGGGGTCAAATTGAGTGGCCAGCGCGATCGCCCGATTTGAACCCTTTAGACTTCTTTTTATGGGGACCTCTTAAAAACCGCGTCTATGTAAACAGGCCTTAAAATTTGGACGACCTAAGACACCGCATTCAAGCCGAGATCCAGATGATCACTCCAGCGGTACTGGCAAACGTACAACGTTCGTTTGTAGACAGGCTGTTCCATTTCCAAATAGTTTACGGTGGACACTTTGAGCAACTGCTCTGATTGGCTTTCCAAAGAACATTAAGCAACGCATAGATTGTGTAAGTTTGACAAAATACCAAAATCTCATTCGGCAGCAAAAACCTGATTTTCTCATAAATTTTCTTATGTAACCCCCCAGATGTGGCACATCAATGTAATCAGGACAACGGTAGCTATCCAAAAATGCAACAAAAATAAAGGGTTGCAATTTAAAAAAAACTGACTTTGATTGTGGCGCCGCCACGCGGCAGAATTTGGAACAACTACATATGCTAAAATATTGCTAGAAAAATATCAAAGTTGGCGTGTTTCAGCATTTTTTAAAAAAAATTACCGTTTTCAAAATAATCACATGTTCCGGGACTTTACGGACACACTGTATTACAATAATTACATTACAGCCTATATAATATATATTATATGAGGTATTCCATTTGAAATTTTTAAGTTAATGTCATCTTGGCACTCCTTAATTAGACACCTATGAATGGAATAGTTTATTCTGTAACTATGAATGGAATAGTTTATTCTGTAATTAATTAAGTTTAAATACACTCGAGTGAAAAGTTTGTCACACGACCCGAAGGCGAGTTTCACGAGAGCGGTATAGTTCCAAACGTGTTTTAGACTATATTTTTTCTACGTTTCCAACAAACACCATAGACAAATAATTTAATTGGGAGAAAGTGAGGTTGGATCGGTCTAAAGTTTGTTAGATATTAAACACAGAGATGTCGCCACCAGTGTTTATTCCGTCATCCGATGATATTATATATATATATATATATATATATATATATATATATATATATATTTCATTCTGTAACACTTTAAGGAATATATGTCATTCTATATTAGAAAGATTTTTTTTCGATAACAATATATTTTTTATTCTGACCAACTAAATCATTAACAAAAAAATACAATTAAAAAAAATGTATTGTAACTATTTTGTTCGAAAAAAAAAACCGGTAGTTTACTTATTTTTATAAAATCTGAAAATAGTAAATAAATCGTACAAAATACCACATAAACACAATTATGGTTAATAAGTACCTACTATGGTATACAAATAAAATAAATGTGAAAAACAATATAATCACTGGTACTTTCAGGAATACTTAAATTTTTCGGAAATTCCTTGTTTTCATTGAACTTGTAGATAATTCAAAAATGGTCATATTTCGATGATTTTTATTCGCGAGAAAGTCGTGTTGTAGCCAAACGATCTTGCTTGGGCCGTGAACAGTCCACTGGCTAGATAATCTATATAAATCTTTTGTTTGTCCATTTAGTGTATTGTTTCAAATAACATAATAATTGAATTGATAACTTTATATACTTTAGTGAAATTAAACAGTCCCCTGGCTACATAAGATGACTGGGGACTGTTTTTCTCTCTAGAGGACTGTCTCGATAAGTTATTTAAAGATCATTTAAGGAATTTCTTATTTTATTATTTTAAAATTATACTTTAAGTAGGTACCTATTTTTAATAGGTAATAATTATTTTGAAATAAATTACAAATTGCGACATAAATTACCACAATATTTCTTACTATTTTTCTGTGAAAGGGAACTCTTTCCTTATTTTATCTACATCTCCTTTATTTATGTTTCTGCGTGAAAGATGCAAGGTCAGGAAATGTTTATATCCTAAAGGACGTCATGGTGGTAATTTTTAGTCTTCCTCGGTAAAAAATGTTATTTGTTAATCGTTTGGAACTTTCTTGGTTTGTTAATAAAAAGCTGTTACTAATTATCTGAGCACTTAAAACAATCTTTTCAACGTCGGAAAGTCTATTACCTAGATTAATTTATTTATTTTTTGTTTTGTTTGGGTAAATTAACGATAACAACGGCAACAGTGCCTGATTACCGGCATCTAAAACTAACCTCAAAAAGTTGTTTTCAGCGATTCTTCTTTACAAGTTTGACATTCCTTAACGTTTGTATCCATTTTGCACAATTAAAAGTAGTAATATTTATTTATTAACACTTAAAACACTTGATTTAACACTTTTATTGAAATTTAAACCTAGTACATACAGCGTTGCCAGGCTTCAAACTGAAAAATATCGTAACCATAACCTTGATTTAAAATCATTACCTACATTATAAATGGTGTATTTCTAATTAATAATGTAATAAGTAATATTTGTTGTAAATCTTTTTAACGAGCAATTCATCGTTAGTAAATCGTGTGTTTTTTTTTCTACAGCAAAAATATTATTTTTTACTGATTACCATATTGTTGTAGGGTACTTTATAGTAACAATGCCCAATTATTAATCTACTTAACTTTGTTATTATTTGATTTATCGAATAGGCCAATCAAAATTCCGGAATAATTACAACGGTGTTCGTTAAAAAAATCGCTTGCAATTTTTTTAAACGTACACTTCCTTTTTACCAAGCTTTATTGTTACAATAATTGGGCAAGATTTTCCGATAGAAAACTGATTACGTAAAAGCAGTAAATTTTTTTAATAGTTTAACGGAAAACTTGGAAACATCAATCGATCAAGTTTGAAATTAATTAAAGGATTGTAGAAATGTCTAATGCATCATAAACTTTATTTTAACGGAGTACATTATTATTATTATTAATAACATTTGTTTCTTTAGTTTTTAGAAAAATTTATGCAAGACAAAACAATAAAAATATACCTGTATATAAATATATAGATGTAAATGTATGTATGCAACCCGGAATACAGCAATTGCCTACATTCGGGCGACAATATATATATCCTATATTCTTATTGCTAAGCAACGATTTTAATACAAGCAAAAATAAAAAACCTAGAAATATTAAACAAACTACAATTTACAGAGCAAATATAATCATGTCATTTCGGGATATACGCAGTAAGTTTTTTTATTCATAATACTTTGTCATTTCTTTAAAATCCATATCCAGACATATCCAAAACTTTTTAGATTTCATTGAGATGTTACGTGCACTTGGATATCCGAGTTTAGTGTCCATGGAAAGTTTTAGAACTCCCAACTTCCCTCTTGTGGCGGATTTATTAGTTTGGTTATCAAAAAGGTTTGATCCTGAAGCTGAAATACCAACTGAAATTTCTACTGAAGAACAGAGAGTGAACCTTATTAGAAGTGCAGCGCAATTCATGGTATAAACATATCTACTCCAATTAGTAGATATTACCTATTTTTAGTAAATGATTTTAAAAAGTAAATAAATAAAATCTGACATCTGTCAAATGGTTAACATGAATTTTTACCAATTTTAAGTATTACATTATAGTCGCCTTCTCCAAATTTAAAACCCGATTGGTTTAAATCACAGTGAATATTGAAATCGGCCAATCACTGACGCCTAACAACGTGAATAATGAGTTCATTATTCCCGTTGTTAGGCGCGGCGCACATAGGGGTATTTGAACGATCTAGGCGGCCATTTTTTTTCATTTTTATTAGATGCCAAATTATGTTACCAAGTGAAACCGATTAGTTTTTTGCTTAAAAATGTTCAATTAATAGTTAAGGGATGTGTGACACCAATTCATTTTTTAAACATTTATTCACAAAATAAAAATTGTAATAAAATAAAATTAAAGTAATGGCATAAATTAACATAACTAATCCTAAACAAATATTGAATACAAAAAAATAATCATATAATGCAATTTTGACTATAATATTTAAAGCATGTTTTCTGGGCTTATCCGGGCTTATCCGGTACTAATTATTTGATTTATTATTTATCCAGACTACCAACTTTAAAGTATTATCAAAATTTTTACCGGATCTATCAGGATAATATGAAAACGACACTAAAACGATACTTTTTATACAAAATAATTCTCATGTAAAAGACCTTTCTTTAAGGCCCCAAACTTTGACCCACAAATAATTAAATGATAAAGTTTTGTTAAATTACAACAATTAAATATATGTACTTCGAGAATCCATAACTTTTTATTACCAATTTAGAACTTATGGACATAAAAACATAATTTTACAATTTAGATTAAGAATGTCAAGAACAGATAACTTATACAGGGAACACGATCGAATTCCAACTGACGACTTACGGGTAAGTGATGCACGGGCGGGGGTGGGAGGGTCCGGATTTTATTATCAAAAGGGTCCTTTATCTTTGGTCGGCTTCCTAGAAGTATTTGGTGTTTTTATGAATTGACTTTTGGCCGCATAGATTGTTGAAACAGCCCAATGTGCGGCGATTATAATGGTTATCATTATATATGCAATAGGAGTAGATAAACTTATCCATTGTTACTTTACAGGCTTTAAAAGCCAATATTAAACTCAACACAAAGCGGCTTTATCAAGCTGATGGTTACGCCGTAAAGGAGTTAATAAAAATAACAAGTCTTCTATACGATGCTTTGAATGTTAATCTGGAAGAAAATAATGAAAACAGTTATAACGACGAGCATTTTAACTTGAGGGATTATGATATTTCAGACAAGGTAAGCCATTTTTAACAAATACGTGAAATCGGACAGCATCTTGAAATTTTTTGTTTTTAGGTTAGCGAATTAAAGTTGTCAAGACAACTAGCAAGTGAAATAACATCGACTGGAGCTAATCTATTTGACTTACTAGGAAAGGAAATGCATTTAAGGGTAAGAATGATAAATAAACAAGGTGGGCACATTTGACTCAATTGTTACAGACATCAAGGCAGAAAAGTATGGGACGTCAATTCGAGATATCCGAGGTTGAATCTGGAATTAAAAAGGCAATCGAAGCCGTTTCCAAGGAAATAAGCGATACAAAGCAGCTAATTGACAATGTAGCTGCCAACGAAGCTAGTTTGGACTCGAAGATTGAACGAAGGAAGGTCGAGATTGATCGTTATGAGAAACGATTGCAGACTCTCAAAAAAGTCAGGTAACATAAATCCGTATTATACACAAGAACAATTGTAAATCCTTCTTTTTAGACCAGCATTTTTGGAGGAATTCACCGCACTTGAACAAGAACTCGAGCAGTTGTTCGTACAATACAGCGTACGTTTGAGATGTCTGAACCAGCTCGAGAAACAATTCAGCGACTCTGAAAGGGCTCAGATCGAAAAGGAATTACTAATGACGTCACCTCGCGTCACCAAAATTCCTTTGGATGACGGGGCTCAAAACGACATGTTTTTGGAGTTGGAACCCCATGGTGATCCAAGAGGCGTTGAAGGGAAGCAGGAGAGGCCCAGAGCTAGCACTGGAGGTAAGTCCTGATAAAGACAGTCTAAATTTAATTCATCTTGTAACTTATAGGTCGCCATAGATCGGAAAAGGGCAAAGCCTACGGTGGAATGCATCCTCCAATGTCGGGAAGTCATTCTTCTCTAGATTTGAGCACAGATTCGGAATCTGATGACCTCTTTCTAGACAAGGATGAACCCGAATTGATGCATTCAGATGAAGAGTCGCTCGCTATAGAGCTATCAGGGATGGATAGAAAGGCTCCGACAGGACGAAAAACTAGCAGTAAGCAGCTACAGGATAATAGCGATGATGATTTTTAAGGATTCAATAACACGAGTGATAATTTAGACAATTTTATTTCTCGATAAAATAAATACAATAAAATTAATAAAATAAATAAAACATATCACCCAATGGCAGTATTTTAGCCGGTATAACTAAAAAACGAATTTCTTCTTTTTAACCTAAAAGTAATGTCATTAGTGTGTCGAAAGTCGGTCAGTCTTGTAAGGTAAAGTAACACAAATATGTCGGTATGTATGTAGGGTAAGTAAGTCGTGGAAAAAGTCAACCATATTGTCGGGATTTTCTCTTGTGTAGGGTCATGGGTTTTGGTACTTCTTTAGAACAAGAAATATCTGTGTTTATATCGGGGAGAGTTACTAGAGGCATCGTTTCATCTGTAGCGTTGTAGATAAGCCATTGTTCGTTCCTAAAACAAAAAATACTTTGTAGAACTTGATAGATTTGTACCTATTATTCCTACCTTATCTCGTCAGGTTGTACATCAATTTCAACAAGTCTAAGTCCGTTTCTTTTGTTGTTAATCATTGCAGTGTCAGTGTCGTTTACGTCTAACAAATCGACTTCGTCGTCCCGTGATTGTACTGTATGTAAGTAGGTCTGTTTCGTGTTGGTCACTATTTGGTCTGATTTCACTGAAGAAATCTTGATGAAACGTCCGTCATCATCGTCATTTTGTTGATTGTACACAAACCTCGTTTTAAAGTCCAGTTTGTCGTCAAGTTTTTGTACCGTCCCTAATGGGTGAAAGTTATGGTGATTGTCTAGTTTATGTATGTGACCTTTGTTAGGTTTGTCGTCTGTAGTAAATTGTCCGAAAGTAGGTTTCATAGGTATGTTTGGGTTAGTCTGTCCGTCATTATACAACTGCGAGTAAACGTCAGATATCTCCGGGTCACCCCTGTTGTATCCACCTTGTACGTAGCTTGGTTTGTTATTGTAAGGGTTACGTTGTGTCGTGTAGTCGTATACGTATAAGTCATTATTGTAAGGTTTGTACGTCTTCTTTGTTGTGTGTCCATAGTTAAAACTGTCATAGTAAGTATTTGGTCGAATCGCATAAGGCTTTTCCGTCGATACGTATACGTTGACGTTTGGTCTGTCTATTGGTCGATTATAATGGTCGTCGTTGTAGTTATGTTGGTAGTCATTGTTGGTGAAAATTTGGGGTCTTTGGTAATAGTCGTTTGGTCTTGCAGTAGTCTGTGTGTTGTAATAGTCCGATGGTCTGGTCTGTTGCACGAAAATTGGGTAGCTTACATGGTCGACAACGTTTGGTCGTTTGGTACGTTTACGTTTGGTCGGTTTTTTTGTCGTTGTCGTCGTCGGTAGGTAGTATTGAATTTTAATGTTCAACTCCAACGGTTTCTCGGCTTTTACTGGAGCCGGTGTAGTCTTAGTTGCAAGTCCGAATAAGTATGTCACCCTAGTTTTGTCTACTTCGTCGTAGTACTGTAAAGGTTGTGAGTAAATCGGTCGTCTGTCTTTGGTTTCTAGTTGTACTGTATTCGTCGTCACGTTAACTATAGGTATTTTCAAGGGTCGTTCAGTCGTACGTATTCTTCTTGTCGTTGTCCGTTTGTTAACACTTGATGCTGTCGTTGAACGTCTTATACTGTTAGATGTTGGTCGTGTTTTGTTGGGTTGAGTCTTACGTCGTTTAGTCCGTTTTTTGTCACAGTCCTTTGTCGATTTCGCTCGTGCTTCTACCACACCTTCACGTCTATGATTTGCGTTGGAATCCTTAAAGTCTATCTCAGACCAAGGTGAAAGATCGAAGGTATTGATACTAGGGCTGTCACAGGGAAGTCTAATATTCCTAAAGTTATCATGTGATAAAAATGCAAAGGGTTGTATTGTTTCAATGCTATCCATGGTCTGGCACAGAACTTGCGCCAATGTAACATGTCTAACTTGCTGCAGTTGAGCTGGAGTAAAAGAACTTTCAAAATTGCCGTTTTCGTACCAGAATTTATCGCCTTTACGAAGCAAGAGGAACTGTTGAGCTATGATGCAAGCAAATGTAGGTCCAACTACACCACCACGTAGTGGTTTCTCAGCTAGACCACCGGTAAATAAGTCTATGTCGTCAATATCGTCATATAGTGATTGTAAACGTGCTAGAGTCTCTTTGGGTATGATGTCTTTTAAGTCATCCCACGATTTAATAGGGGATAAACCACAAGGTTCACGCCATGAAGTGTAAGGGGGTAGACCATGGTCCCTCCCTCGCTGGATGTTAATTGCTGCCAAGTCCATACCAAACGGTGTGTCGGAGAATTGAAATAAATGATTGGTTAACTCTTCACAAACGAATTCGTCCCTTCTTTGAGAAGGTTGGTTTACCAAACCTAGAATTAGTCTATCTACAGAACCACTCCTCCATATATTCTCGCTGTTTTCAGGGTCCAAGTGAAGGCTCACATCTGAAAAAAATATCTAATAAGAATGTATGCATAAGTTGAACAAAGTTAATTACTGTTGAATATCGGCCTATGATCACTATCAGCTCTGACGTATGTGTTTTGAACCATGCTATGTCCAAACCTGAACGCAGCAGCACTGAATGCGTTTGCTATTTGTGGGTTCACTCTATCATCATATCCATTGTAGTAACCTTTACGAACCAGATTCAATTCGAAAAGCTCCATTACGTCTTGCCCTAAAATAAAATTAGTAGAGAATGTTTGAATATTTTTATTTATTTATTTACCAACTACTATAGGCAAAAACTCCCGATATGTGATATGTTGAACCACAGAATACACAATCTTTCTTGTTTCCTGATAAGTTTTCTCGTCACTCCAATGAAGATTCAATTTCCCCAACACATTCGCTATTTTGTTGTGATATCTAACCCAAACAGTATGCAAAGCGGTCAAAGCGGGCTGCTCATCAGATCTCCCGTCGCCAGTTCTAAAACAATCGCTCGATATGGCCCCTGAACGGCAAATTTCACCACCTGGAGGGTCAGGGGGGTTGAGGGGCCCCTGACGAGGTCTGCCATAGATAAGTTTACCATTTCTAAATGTACGCATGGAATCTGAGGTCTCTATATCGCTACCGTATATCGTTGAAGTATCTATGAATGGTGTAACTTGGTTTATTTGTTCCCTCCATCCCAAATCGCAGTCTATTCTCGTAGATGGCGCACTACGTAGAAATTCCAAGCAACGTATACCGAAATGGGAGTAGAACCAATCTTCACTGGAGACTTCAATTGGTAGACAAGCTGGGTGCTACAATTTTAAGAATGTTATTATGTTTCTTACAACTTTTTTTTTGGTAGGCACCATAAGTTCCGGTGGTAGAAACCCTCGACCACCTTGGTCGCAGCACCTTGGTATAGACCCATTGAAACTCCTTGATTTAACTGTAGAGGTTATGTCGTGATCAATAAATTGACCCCATTGCATGAAGAGCAAAGTTACACTTTGTATTTCTTGATTCTTATCTCTATGAACTCTGGTACTAATAGATCTTGGTGAAGGGAGTCTCCTGCTGTTGAAAACTGATCGACGAATGCTTTGTATTCCTGCAAAGTTAATAAAAACAATTTTTAATGTCCCAGAACTCGCGCCACAGAGAAAAAGGAGGCTAATAGCAATGAAGATGCCAAATTTAAAAATAAAAAATTTCTAGGTAATAGTGTACCGTAAACACGGGTGGCTTAAAGCCACTGGCTTTGCACCCCGCGGGTGACTAACCTTTTTATGATAAATCTTTTCGCGCTCGATAAAGTTAACATTTATAATTTGTTGGTCTAAACCTGTCAATTGAGCGATTCTATTGAGTTTATATTACAGAAAAATCAGTGTTTTAAAGAAATAAATGAGATTTATTAGACTTTAATAGTATATTATGTATCAAGTTTGATTAACGCCATTTTATACACGAATTTAATTTAGGCACGAGCGAGCTTGCGAGCGAGTTCTTAAGTTAATGAGTGTATAGAAAAGTTTTTAAACGAGGTGCATACTATACTTTTTCTACGACAAATATTTATTATTATCTTAAAATGATTTAAATCAAAAATTTGTATAGAGCGCCATCTATGAAACAACAGGGGACAAATGTCACATTTTTACATTTTATAAACACAATTATAAAGGTTATAAATCGAAATTTATATTGAAAATTGACAGTTTTTCACAGTGAAAGTAAAGGAAATGTTTTATGAGGACTTTACAGTAGAGTCCGTGCCCGAATTTAAGTTACAGTTTACTTCCGGCGAAATTAAAAGGTCAGTACAATGTTCATATAAACTTTTCAAATATTGGCGTTGAGAAACTATTTAATATTTTTGTATTTTTGTATTGAGATAATAATATAATTTTCACATTTAGTATTATTTTACAAGAAAGGCACTTTATTTTGACGATTGTATGACATTTGACAACTGTCAACTAACTTAAAACTAACTTCAGCCCGTGACTAAAAACCTTTTGCTAACTTCAGCCCGTGACTAAAGCGCCGTAAAGCCACAACATGTCAATGTGTATTTAAAAGATCACTTAGTGTCATGGAAACATGTACGATAAAGGGCGTTTTAAAGGTGGGAGTAGAAAAAATTGTTTATATTACATTAGTGCAGAACTCTTAGAAATACACGCGTTACAATTTCTATACTATGCGCAATCTTTTGGAATGATGATCCTTGGTTAACTACAGGTCAATTTTTTATTTTTTTTATCGGTACCTAATCCTGTGCAATCGCTATATGTGTCTAATAAAAATAAAATAAAATATTGAGTTATTATGAAAGAGCAACTCAAGACTCAAATTTTGGTATACAATATTTAATGTTTATGATTGTTAAAACCACAAAAATTTTAAGCTTAAGTTTGAAAGTGATTTAAAGCCACCCGTGTTTACGGTAATCGAATGAAAGTAAGCCAATACCGAGAGCTTTTGCCTAGGTTAAACGTAGGAGCTTTAAAAATTGTTAGGAGGCGATAGAACATTGTTGTCTTAAAACTTTTAAAAATCATTTGTCCGACTGGGGGAAATTATCTACCGGCCGCAGAAATGAACATCCTTTATGAACTGTGAACGGGAAATTCGCGTGCAACTTTCCTTATGCTCTTCCTATTATTTGCATCAAAGGCAATCAAAATCAATGAAATAGCTTCTTAATTTTTCGCTGTTCTAATACGTTAAGGAGCACCTTCAATTTCGTTACAAAGCAGAACAACTTTAAAGTCCAGGGGACGATCGGGAAAGCGCTGGGAAAAAACTTGTGCTGCCTCCTCAGCATTGCTCCCATGCTCCCCATAAATAATCACTATGATTAAAGTGACCAGATTCTGTCAAAAAATAACGGGACATTTTGTGTAAATTAACCTTAATTACAAAAATGACACAATCAACAATAATTAAGTAACGTCAAATTTACTATTTGCATTGTATCATTGTGTCAATTTTGTAATTAAGGTAAATTCATACAAAATGTCCCTCAATTTTTTGACAGAATCTGTTCACTTTAACTATGATCATAATCATATTGATAAATAATGACAGGAACAAACATTGACAGCAGTGTCTTAATGAAGTGGATTCCAGTCGACAGAATATTTTACATATTATAATATCAACAATGCATTTTAAGTATCCTAGCAATTTAAAGAATTCCTATGGCCATGTATTGGGATTGGATACCGTTTTTTATTCTTATCTCGCTTAACCTTTTCGTTAGATAATTTTAATTTTCAAGTATGCGTGTCGCATAACTTTCGGCACGAGTGACGCCAGTTCTGCGACACCCTGTATATTAATATAAAAAATAAACTACATTAAAAAATTACTCAAAAAGTTATTCAACTAATCCTTTCTACAAGGTCCCAATTTGTCTGAACAAAGAAAAAGATTTCAAACATTTAATTGGGTATTAAAAGTTTGAATACTTTCGTAAAGTTTCTTCAATTTTGTGACTTATCTCCATTTAAATATTCGCATTTATCAAAATGAAAGGCTTGAACTTAAGGAACGTTTTCCATTTGGCAACATCGCTACTTACCATCTTCGTATACAGGCGGCATGAAGCGTTGCAACGGCAACATGGCGGATCCTCTCCAAGGCTTCCTAAGATTGTTGCAGGTCCCGTCTGCAGTCCTGTAACGTCTAGTAGCCTGGGAACACCTGGGCGTTCCCTTAAGGGGGCATTCATCCAGAAGGAGTCTGGATTGAACCGCCTCTGGAAAGCCGTTCTCTCGGCCTACATTGTTCGGATAGCTGTAATAAATAAACCTTTGAAAAAATTTGACACAAGCTCCTAATTAACATTGAATCCTTATTGTTCAAAATGGCTATCATATAGTTTAACAAATAGTAATCTACTAAAATCTTAAAAGCAAAAAGGTGAAACTCGAATATTTTTTTGGACCAACACAATTCAATTAATCACTTTCTATAAACAATAAACTGTAACCTTGATCAAGGTGTCCTGTTTTAAAAATGAGAGTAATTTCTTTCTTTGACATCACTTTCCCTTTTATGTAAATTTATATTAAAATCTAGACTGGACAACAAGAAAAAATATTCATAGAAGACATCCTAATCTTTACACTCCTTCTTGTAGTTCAGTGCCTTTACAAACAAATTAAATTAAGTGGCCTTATCATACTAACCTTAAGAAAAACTGCAATGAAACAAAACACGCACTAGGCACTCTTCGATTAATTTTGAATGGGTGTTTAGTACTGGTACCAGTACCACCAACTAGAGACTACATATTGAACTGAAAGTTCCGGCTGAAGACGCGTCAGTTAAAAGGTACGCTTCGTCGACCCCACTAGAATTTCTGCTTTCCACTGGTGATGAGTAAAAGTTCGGAAAAGGGGGGTTTGTGTGAAGATAGGAAGCAGGCGGCGTTGACAAGACGTTGGAGTGTTTTTTTTTGGTTTGGTAGGAAGAGAAAACGACTTGTTGCCATAAAGTGTGAGGCAGCATTTTTACACTTTCTGTGTTTTTTTTTGAAATTCATTTTAAACCATTTTTGTAACAAAACCCGTTTTTTGTGTGTCTACGGAAACTGTAGATTCAATTCCACTCTCTAAAGATGCATTAGTCAAAAATGACTAGTTGCCATAGCGAAAAAGCCGCCACTAATAATTCTCGTCAATAGCAATTTGTACCCCAACATGTAAAATTGTCCCCTAAATGCGAAAATGTCGTCAAAGTCAATTTTCTATACTTTGTTGGAAAAGTAAGATTTTATATTTAACCATTTGCACAATATTGTCAAGAAAAGAGTTGAAATCTGTTGTAAAAATATTTCAAAAATAAATATTACTCCTTTGTAAATTTTTTTAAATAATTCGTATAAATATAGTATAACTTTGAGTTAGAATATAAATTTTACAATATTGGACTATTTGTGAAGCATCACACCACCTAAGATAACCAATGAAATGATTTCCTAATTGAAATAAGACAGTTTTAGTTAGTGTTAAGAAGTGTATCATTGTGAGGTTAGTGCCACATTTCTGGTGAGTGATTTGCAAAATTTTTCAGAGGCTGGGATAAATCAATAATTATGTCCTGGTGATCAAATGAGGATAAAACGTTAATGTTACTACTGCGCTACATTATTAATCAGCTTACTATTTACTTTAGTTTATAATTTATGTTTATTTTATGTTTTCATTTTATATTAACTTAATTCTATCCTTACAAAATTTTTGTTTTGGTCGCTGAATACATATTTAATCTATCGACATTTGTACTATTATAAGTGGAGACGCACTTCATGGTAAATTATATCTTAATATTATTAGTATTAGCTATACGAATTTTATTTTTCAGTTCGTAGTTTATATTTTGTTATGTATATTTTATGTTGCCAGTGTCAGTTTATATTAAGTTTAGGTATTCTATTTTCCATATTTTTTGTATAAGTCGCTGAATTCATAGGTATCTAAATTAATAATTTAGTTTAATTTTTCTTTTTATCAACCTCGCACACCCAAACATTATTAAAATTTTTAAATAAATTGGAGAAATTATTATTAAACAATGATGTTTTATTATGTGCCACAATTTGTGCAATTTCACCACAAAATATTATACTAAAAAGGTCTCTAAAATACATATATATAATTATATGAGCCGATTAGATTAAAATATGTTCAAAAGTCAAATAAATTATGTAAGATTTTAATATAATAAGTTTACTTCAATTATTTGCTACAATTTACTACAAATTGTTCCTGTCACCTTTTTTGCACCAATTTGTTGAACAAATTCATCCAATTATTAAACCAAATCCAACAAATTTTAGAGTGAACTCTTTTACAAATTACTTTTTTATAAAATTTCTAATAATTAAAATAATTACCACTATTAACTTTTCATTGTTTTTTTTTTCATTTTCAAAATCAATTGACCTATACTGTTATTAAAACAAAGTAGAAAATTGCTACTCCACTAATTTTGTTTTGATAAAAATTTAATAATAATTTATTTAATGTTGTTACAAGTATAATAAAGGACTTTCTTGTTGAATGCAAAAAGAAAATATAAATGAAATTTCTTTTATTTTAATGGATATATACGCACTAGTAATACACTAATCACCTATATAAATACACTTGACCGTGTTTAGAAGAAGCTGGTACTATTAGTAACAAAATTTTCATGTCAGGTGTTTGCGTTTAAAAATCACTGCGTACTATCAGAAAACTGCTGTTTCTTTTCGTTGGACCATCCTGAATAGAATATATCATTACGAAAAATTTGATTTTAGCAACAATAAAGTTTTTACAAAAATAAATTAAATGATCCACTTATATAAGTACCCAATGTTTATTGTTCCGAATCATTTAAATTATACCAGTGCTATCTACAATAATTATAATAAATAACAATAAGATTATTACCAGGTATCTAGAAATAAATGTTACAATAATGACCGTGCATTAACGGTCTGTTTGTTTGCATTTAATGCCGATGATTTTTTGTTTTTATATCATTGTTTTTTCCGGATAAAATAGTCAAACACCCGAGTAATATTTTATGCAACTAGGTGAAACTTTTTGCGGTAAAAATGGCAAAAATATTTTAGTTCGTTGTTTTCTTTTGTTAATATCAGGTGCATGTTTTTGAGTTAAAGTGTTAATGAGTGTCCAAAGTTATCTGCTCACTCAATTAAAAGAAAAAATGCCACACGGTCTATATACCAAGTAGCATTTATAGTGGTTAAAACGTGTTGGCCACTTATACTTGGAACTGTAAAGTATACTTTATATATATATTGCCAAAATCTCTGCCACGTGGTGGAAAGTTTCCTGGAAAAGTCTAAAATTGGGAACACTTTTTTAGTGTCAGTTACGTTCCAACAACGTTCTTGAATTGTAAACAAACACGTTAATACCACGTTGTGATTACGTTACTATAACGTGGAGGTATAGTGGCCAAAACTTAATCGTAACTTTACTAATCTTTACTTTCTATCCCCGTCTCTTTTCAGCATATTATTTATTTTATTATCTTTGCTTTCTCTGACTGGATATTAAACTAATACTGAATTATAATATTGTAAGAGTACAACTTGCAAATAATAACTAGAACTAAAATAATCCAAAGACATAAAATTAACACGAATTAAATTTTACTGTTAAACATGGGTTTTATAGCTTGAAATATAAGCATGCCCTCTTGAAATAATGGTAATAAAAAAGAATAAAAAAATCTATAAACTTTGAATGAAAATTATTTATCTAGAGGCCTAAAGTTATATTTTTATTATTTCTGGTCACCTGAAACCAATAAATATGTATTAACGTGTTAAATTTGGTGCGGTAATAACCAGACCTATTTGTTTAAAACAATACATTTATTTTCCTACAATGGCGATTATTTTTAAACATATCTGCTTTTGAAGAAGGGAACTTTAAAGTGGTAATTTTGTACGAAACGTGGAAATCACTTAAGCATGTAGCAAGAACGTGGCAATCACCACCGCAATTATATAATCAAGTTTTGCCACTTTCAAGGTTTGGGAAAAGTTCCGAAAACGTTACCAAAACTGATATACCCACTTTACTACTACTACCACTTCAAAGTAATACTTAAGTGATGTGATTTGGTTACAGTTACTATTCATAATCCACTCTAAAGTTTAGACAACTTTAAGGTGGTGTCAAAAGTGGTCATAACATTTCAGATCAGTCAAAGATACTCACGTTTCTGCTATTTTAACAGTTGCTTCGAGTGCAGCGTACCCAAATCGGGAGAGTTTGAGGGCCCTTTCGTTCGGCGCTCCAAATTTGGCCACAAAACTGGCCGGGTGGTTTTTTTCCAAAGTTAAACCCATTTTATACCACATTAATTCTTTTTTTTCGTATAAATCCTGCATGGACTTTATGCCATACAAAACGGCTTCGTCTAGCTCTCGTTGCTTGGAATTCATGGCCGACCTGAGATCCGAGTCGTCATCTATGGTTCTTTTGTTTTCGTTGACATGTTGGTTAATTTTTATTGCGTCATAATTGTTTGAACTTTCCTTTTTAATGTTTGTTATTGTTGTGTTAAAATCGTCGATTTTTTTTCTATAGTGGGATTCCGTTGTGTTATTGTCTTTTGTTTTAAGTGTGTCGTCAATTGTTTTGTCGTTTTTTGCGGTTCCTAATGTCATTGCAGTCGCCAGTAACAGTATGGTCCAAATTGGGTGAAAAAATCTGAAAGAAAATTAAAATTAAAGTTAATTTAAAACATTTCACGCACGACTTCTTAACGTTAAACCATAATAAATTATATTAATTCAATTTGATGGAAGATTTTTATCCTCAAACTACTTTTTCTGATGTGGTATTTTAGATTCGCATTATAATGTTACGATAGAGAAACTTGGTACTTTCTACTGCCATAATGGTTCGACATGTAGCTAAATGTGGTTTTAGAATACTGTATAGATAATAGTGTTAATAGATTTTCTAGAAGATACGAGGAAGAATTTTAAGATGGGTTTGTAGTTTGTTAGTTTTATTTTGTAAAATTTTAACCTAATTTTCTGTAGAAAACCAGGAAAAAATTATTTTAACAAAGTAAAATATTTTACAGAAAGTTTTGCAAAGGTAATATGCAATTTTGTTAATTTTAAAGGTTACAGCTTATTTCTTTAAAAATGTACACGTGATTTCAGGCAGTCAATCAAAACATTTCCCACTGACAATACGCATAAACAAGTTCAACTGACTTCAGCGTCTGCAACTTATGTTTCTGCTTACAAGCATACTTTATTCTAATTAGTAACAACTTTCCAGAATGTTTATAATATATAAACAAAAATCTGTTAATATTGTTATTCGCATTTCTTATACCTATTTAACGAGTGTGCAAAGTGGGAAGTATCCGAAAAAAGCATCACTGGTGTTCAAACTGAAATTAGGGGATACAGTGAAGTGGGTAAGTTACGAAATACAACACTAAGGGCAGTATGCAGAAACTTTGATTTATTTATATCAACTGATTTACGCATAAACTTGTATTACTGGCAAAAACTTAATAATATTATAATATGTTTATTCAATTTGAAATACCTATGTTTTTGTCCCTCAATTTCATTTTCTTTTATGTTTAAACATTTAAAAACTATTAATAGTACCTACCTATATTTCTGAGCCGAAAAATAAATGTAAATTTCCTCAAAAAAAAGTCTCCTCTACCTTGCTAAGCCCTTTGCCCAAAACCTACTGTTTCTATTTGAAGAGCAAGCACATAATTTAAAAATTTAAAAGAACAAATAAGTTGAACATGGTCTAAAATTTAAAATTTTTTAAAAGTATTTAAAAAATAAGACAAATATTTTTTAAACACAATTTTGGTTTTATTTTATAATCCTTATTATTTATTAAATAGTAATTTTTTTAATTATCTAGGTCAGGGATGGCGAACCTATGGCACGCGTGCCATGAGTGGCACGTTTTCAATTTTTCTTGGCACGTTTTGAGAACAAAATTTGTTCATCTTAAGCTAATTTTTAAGTTTAATAATTTGCCTATTTTATTCCAATTAAAACATAACATATAACTAAACTCCGTAAAATTTAATGTTTATGCTAGCCTTGTAATCATAAGCGACAAATTTTACAATTTTTAATAAATATCGCTAGAATTTTATCTAGGTGTTAAATATAAACAACGATAAAACTTCTTTGTTTGTAAAGCTTTTAATTTATAATCTTGAATGTTTTCCTACAAAGTTTAACTTAAGAATAAGCTAGATTTTGATACTATACAGACTTAAATATCTTGAACAATAATGATTTTAAAAAGAACCATGAATTTTAAAACAAAATGGGTTATTTTTATAAAAAACCATTTCAAGAAATTTACAACAAAGAACCTTTTTAGTAATTTAATGCTCCAAATAAAATAATTCTATTTACAATTTTTATGAACATCTATTTTTAAGTATGCATCTTTGTTAGATTTTGATCTTTTATTTCTTCTAAATCGTACGGTAGGTACAAATATAATCTAATGAAAAAAAACGAGACTAAATTTATTTCTTAAAATATAATAATGTATAAAAAAATTTCTAAATAATGATTTACTTTTTTTATAATGTTTTTGTATACTTTCATCTTGATAACACTTACAAAAATTTACTTGTGGCAATTTGAAAATTTTTTTTTATAGTTTTTTGGCACGCACACTAAAAAGGTTCGCCATCCCTGATGTATGGTAGCAGGGCCGTAGCGACGGACTCAGGGGCCCCGGTGCAAAACTTTAGGATAGGATAGGATATCGAAAATTACGATTTTTTAGTAAAACTTTTTAGTTTTGGGGGCCCCTTTGAGGTCGGGGGCCCTGGTGCACCGCACCGCCTGCACCAGCCTCGCTACGGCCCTGTATGGTAGGTATGTATGTTTTTAATAATAAAAAAATGAATCAATAAATATTTTCACCCAAGTTCAATGTTACGGGTAATTATTTTACAATGTAACTAAATAAAGTTATACATGTATGCTTGAATGCTTGAATGCTTGAAATCAATGGATGCATCAATTGATTTCAAGCATTCAGCTTTTCAATCAGACAAAAAAACATCAAAGATATTTGATATAATTAACATGGTAATAATTTTATCTTAAAAAAATGTTATTTTTTAATTATTTCTTTGTTATAGGTATGTTTACCTTCTGAATTTATTTTTTATATATATTTTCAAACAAAAATACTATCTAATTTTATCCATATTTTAAATCAGTCGTTAACGACTGATATAAATTATATCAACCAATTTACATTTTAGATGATTTTTTTGGCCAAAAGGCAAATCTAAGTAAACCATGACTTAGCAAAATTATTTTCTATGGTTAAAAGCAATTGTCACAAATCTCAAATAAATAAATCTTTATGACATTTTAATTGTTTTTTGTCTAATTTAACATGTCAATGTATAGAAATAGAAAAATTTAAACGTTGAAAGATAATTACAATTTATTTTATAAAACAAAAGTTTTTAAAGAAAATTACTACGTTGCCATGTCGTGCAAAAACCTATATGCACTGATATGCTAAATCAGTTAATATAAATAAAACAACTTTTCTGCATAGGGCAAGTGTTGTAGAAGTACTGATAATTATATTGTACCAAATTTCTTTATAATTTGATGATTACAGAATGATGTGTTTTTTAATTGTGTGTATGTTATTTTTGTGTTCATTTATGTAGGTATGTGTTAATTTTTTTGTTTAGGAAATTGATTAATAAAGCAACATTTTCAATATTCAACAAATACTTTTGTTACTAGGTCTACAAAAACTTTTTGTCAAAAAGGTTTATAAAAATTAGAAAATTACAAGAATTATGGTTGAATTATTGATATAGGACTTTTTTATTGAATCTACAAAATGTTTTTTATAATTATAATGTATACAAACTACTTATTCAATTAGTTAACAGATTACAGTTGGTTGTAAACTTAACATAAAGTTATGTGGACCTGGTTCAACAGAAAATCAGGTTAATATTTGGTTAAAATTAACATTTTTTTAATGTGTATAAGCATAATTTTTTTCTACTCCGCTAAGTTTTTAATAAAATTACTAAACATATCAATCAATAATAATCTACAAAGAGGATTCACGTAACATGTTGCATAAGTAAACTACATAGAACAAAAAAAATAAGAATACAAATTAATTAAATCAGTCGTTAGTTACAATAGAAATTGATCGAAGAAATTTAGGTTGTGTACAATGTTAAAAAAAATTACAAAACACATAGGTATAGTAGATAAGTACTTTTAAGTAGCGATTCGTGTTTGTTTTTTATGCTTCCGCGCACTCATTGTTGGATGTTAAAACTTTTCAAATTCGTGTAAAGTTGATGACATGAATTCCTTACTTTTTACGCACAAACATTTTTTTGCATTGTTTAAATCTTTATTATTAGTGAAACATTTTACGCTTTACTGGTTGAAGTATTTTCTTTGATCCATGTGCTCAATAAAGTTGCAATAATTTGTTTTTAGTGCTGTAACACTTTAACACGTTATTTTTTAATATAATTTTTTGCACAGTTTCTTTAACGAAATCGATGAGACTCCTATTTTTTCTTTTTGCTTAAATTTGTTTTATTCACCCGTAGAAAATTTTTGAAAAATGGATAAAAACATCTATTTTTCTCTTTTTAGGAGTGAAATTTTTTCTTGAAAATACGATAACTTGTCCAAAAATGTTTCGATCGGTACATTTTTTTTTATTTGTATGTAAATGTTTACTACATACAAAATAATATAAAAAATTTAGTGTATTCACTGATTTTTTTTTAAATTGTTTTTTCTAAAAAAGGCATAAAAACATTGATGTCAAAATTTTGACATTGCCAAATTTTTTTTACTTCATATTTTTTTCGTTTGATAATATGAACTTTTGGTGAAGGTTGGCTAAATTCGTCGTTTCGGAATTATTATTTTGTTAATGAAAATGCCATTTTCTAGTAAATTCGTGGTTCATCGCAAACATTTGGTAGTTTATCTAGGGTCATGAAATTGGGGTGACCTGTAATTTAGATCTTTTTGACATATTTTTGTCACTTCTGGTAAATTAAATTATTAAAGGTTAAGTGGAGTAGCCTGGCTAGACTTCGCCTTTTAATTATTGTATTTTGTATACGTAATTAATAAAGACATTATTATTATTATTATTATTATTATTATTAAAGATTTTAAAATGTATATTTTAAATATATTTGCATGTGTTATAACTTTTAAAAGATGTAAAAAGTATACGTAAATTAATTTTGGTTAAAATAATAAAAGTAAGTATTACATACCTAAAAGTACTGAATCGAATGCTCAAGAAACTTATAAACACGCGATTTCGAAGAAATGTAGAACAGAAACAATTCCGAAAAATTTTGGTCCGTTAACAGGTATTAGTGAGGCAGTCTCGAAACTCTTTTTGACTAAGGAAGGAAAATAAGTATTAAGCCTTAGAGGTCCAGAAACTAATGTACAGGTTAATTATGTTTAAAAATAACACATTTTTAGTCTTCTGCTTATGAAATATTGTGATTGTTTTGTAAATATTAATGTTTTGTTATTTTAAATTTGTTAGTAGATCCTCTTAGCAAGTCCTTTGCAACACTCTTAATGTAATCAGGGATATGAAAATTGATTATAATCAATACAAGCTTTTTCCAGCGAACTTATAAGTATACTTATATT